CCACCCACCTTAAAAGTTCCAAATGGTTGAAAGACACCGCTTTGAATCATCGCTCTCTAAACGTGGCCACTTTTAAGACGGGTGGACTTCGACTCCCAGAATTCTTCAGCTACCCATGCTGCTGGGGGATTCTGGGAGTTGGAGTCCACCCACTGAAAGCCGCCAAGGTCCAAATGCTTCAACCAGACGTGGTCCTGTCCACAGGTCTTGAAAACCCGTCAACGCCCAAGCAATGTTTTCTCCAGTTGGTCGGCCTGAAGGAGCAACTCCACCCACCCCTCTTCTAAGATGCTCTCCCATGCCACGTCGTCTCTCTCTCTCTCCCCGCCATCTCTGGCGAGGGCGAAACTCCAAAGCCCATCCTCCTCTTCCCAGGAGCCCCCCCCCGCCAGACCCCTGCTGAAGACCCCTCCCCCATCTCACCGTTGAGGAAATTCTCCAAGCTAAAGAGCTTGACTTTCTTCTCGCGTTCGATGGGGTTGGGCCCGGCCAACTCTCCGGCACAGGGGCCGGTCCAAAAGACTTTACACTGGCACAACCGGATGGCGTAAATGTCCTGGCCTTGCAGTTCCAGGATCAGGCCCCGGTCCAGGACGTCCAGCAACTGATGGGTGTAGTAACGCTGCTTCTCGTTGGGGATGGCCTCGGCACTGGGGAAGCGCACCTGCTCCAAGATCACCGGTCCAAAGAGCTCCACCTGTTCCTGGGTGGGCTCCAGGTGGCTGTGGAAGAGGCGGCAGCCGTGCGGGTTGCTGATGATCAGGGGTTCCAACGAGCGTCCGCGGTACTGGAATTTGATCTCCAGGTCGGTCACTAAAGGAGGAGGAGAAAGAGAAGAAGAGGAAGAAGAAGAAAGGAGGAGGAGGAGGAGGAGGAGAGGAAGAAGAAAAAAGGAGAAGAGGAAGAGGAAGGAAGAGGAGGAGGAAGAAGAAGAGGAAGAGGAAAAAGGAGGGGGAGGGGGAGAGGAAGAGAAGAAGAGGAAAAGGAGGAGGAGAGGAAGAGGAAGAAGAAGAAGAGAAGAGGAAGAGGAAAAGAAGGAGGAGAAGAAGAGGAAGAATGAGGAGGAGGAGGAGGAGGAGGAAGAAGAAAAGAAGAGGAAAAGGAAGAAGAAGGAGGAAGGGGGAGGAGGAGGAGGAGGAGGAGAGGAAGAGAAGAAGAGGAAAAGGAGGAGGAGCAGACAACACAAAGAGCCAAGGGTGAACCAGGGCATTGGTGGCAACGTCGCCAATGGGTAATGGGGGGGGTGTGACCCCAAAACTCAAAGTCTTTTGGGTGGGTGGGAGTCTGCAGGGTACAGTCGAAAAAGGCAAGATGGCTGCCACCACGGTGCACATGGAACTCTACCACGAGTGTGCAGGTAGTTCTCATTGTAATCGAAGGGCTGTTGTAACCTCAAACAGCCACTAAACAAACTATTGTAAGTCGAGGACAACCTGTAATGCTGGCCTGCATAGGCATTATGTGCAAACACGACTGCTCGAGCTTTAGCTGATGTGGGTTGTGTGAACCCAGCCAGGAGGGGACCCCACTTTCCCTCTCATCTCCCCATCCCCATGGTCCACCCCCATAAAAGAGAGAGAGAGGGAGGCTTACGTGGCAGCATGTGGGGGCTGATCAATAAATTTGGGATGAACTGCTCAATGGGGGCTGCGGGACAGCCCCCCTCGGGTAAGGGCTGCAGGGTCCCTGGCACGGCCATGCTCTCGGGCATCAGTGGCATCCGGCTTGCAGATTCGCCAAAGTTGGGCACTGGAGGCTCTGCTCCTACTGGGAAGGCCCCTACGGGGACATGTGCCGGGGGTCCAGGCCCCACCTCCGGGGGAGCCAAGTGGGGGAAGTTCCCATTAGCGCATGAGTTGGTGTAGAGGGTCTCTTGCTTGAGCCACGGGTAAGGGGGCAGAGGCTCTGCGACGTGCGACGGATCTGGAATGAGAGAACCTGTTAGAAATTGTGTTCATATGTAGCACCACAGAACAAACAAGAGCACAGTCACCATGTGCTTTACTGCTCAACTATTTAACAGAAAATAGGAAACTACTTAGAACGAAAGAGCATAGAGTATATACCATAGATACAAACTTGTAAACACTGTCATCTACTAGTTGAATACTTCTGTAGTTGTTGTATAGAAATAGATTCTAACAATGAATTCCAACAAACTGGGCATTGTAGAAAGCAACCCAGGAAACCTGATCAAAATGGAAGGATAGCAACAATGTTTTTCGTGTGGGGAAGGGATCTGAAGGCAGCTGTCTTTTCTGCGTGATTTCTATCCCACCTTTATTACTGTACAAGGAACTCAACACACACAAGTCTCTTAACACACACTCCACCTCTTGTTTTCCCCACAACAACCCTGTAAGGTGGGCTCAGCTGAGAGAAAGGGACTGGCTGAAATCACCTAACTGGTTTTCACACGTAAGGCAGGACTAGAATTCACCATTTCCTGGTGATTGGCCTAAAGTCACCCAGTTGGCTTTCATGCTAAGGCAGAACTAGAACTCACTGTTTCCTGGTGAATTGAGTCACCCAGTTGTCTTTGGTGCTTAAGGCGGGACTAGAACTCACCGTCACCTAGTTTCTAAGCCAGCACCTTAACCACTACATGAAACCGGCTCTTCTTTAGAAAGAAGTTGGAGCCCCTGCCAAGCAGGAAACATATGAAACAATCCTTCCCTCCCCTTCCCTCCAGGCCTGACCCCCCCTCCCCACTTCTTCTGGACGCTGCCAAGAACCCACCTGCAATCCTTAAGGTGGGCATCATTTTCTGGAGCTGCAATCAAAGGGATAAAAATTAGTGAGCTAGGTCAATTAATTCTATTCTATTCTCTCTCTCTTCCCAGTCTCTTCTTTATATCTATATCTATATCTATATCTATATCTATATCTATATCTATATCTATATCTATATCTATATCTAT